TGATTCTCACTTTTGAGATGAGTGAGGAGGAATAATATTATTAACTCCATTTTACTAATAAAGAAACAGTGCTAAAGAGTGTATAAGTGATTGGATATGTGATAGAATGGAGGCCATAAGCCTGAGCTTGCCTATCTCTGTTTACCCAGTTCTTAGTCTCATTTCTAGTAGATGAAAATACATCATGTACCTCAAGCTTTTTAATAGCTATAAAATATTTCATGGATTTAAAAAAAATTATCTAGCCGAAACCAGTTTGGCTCAGTGGATAGAGCGTTGGCCTGCTGACTGAAAGGTCCCAGGTTCGATTCCAGTCAAGGGCACGTACCTTGGTTGCAGGCACATCCCCAGTAGGGAGTGTGCAGGAAGCAGCTGATCAATGTTTCTAACTCTCTATCTCTCTCCCTTCCTCTCTGTAAAAAAAAATCAATAAAATATATACATTTTAAAATTATCTAACTATTCTCTTATTGATGAACATGTCTTTCCCCCCCCAATCTTTTTCTTTTATAATGATTCTTTGACTGTCTTCCACATATATCTCTGAGTACTCATGTGACTATTCTAATTGGGTAAGTTGCTAAGAGTTAAATTACTGAGTCAAAGTATATGTATCTTAAGATTCTGATCAATGTTGTCAAATTGTCCTTCAAAATTTGTACTGTTTTCCATTCCACTATCTTTCCCTAAATGTCTATCTATGTTATTTAATCTTTGCCAGTCTGATTAGGAAAATATGGCTAATTAAAATTTTTTTTTAAAGTTTAGCATCATATCTCTAAAATAGGTATGAGGAAAACATATAAATTTGGTGTACAGTTCAATGATTTTTACAAATGTACTGCTATACATCTGAGTAACCATCATCCAGATCAAGGTATAAAACATTTTCATTTCCTCAGAAAGTTCTTTCTTACCACTTTACCCACCCATCCCAGGGGTCATCACTCTGACTTCTGTCAACATTAATTAATTTAGTCTATTCTTGAATGTAGTGTAAGTGAAATCAAACTATTTATGTCTTTCTTTGCTTAACCTAATATCTGCATTCATTCATATTGTTGTGCATATCAGTTAATTCTTTTTTATTATTGCTTTGAATTACATTACATGAATATGCAACAGATTATAGTCCATTCTCCTGTTGATGGACATTAATCTTTCTAGTTATTTTACAGCAATGAATAACATTGCTATAACATTCTTGTATATGTCTTTCATTGGGCATACATACTCATTTCTTTTGGTCATACACCTAGAGAATTGCTGAGTCATAGAGTAGGTATATGTTTAGCTTTCATAGATACTGCTTAATAGTTTTCTAAAGTTGCACTCCCACCAGCAATTGCATGAGAGTTCTACCTGCTTCCCATCCTTCCCAATACTCAGTGCTTTTAGTCTTTTACATTTTAGACTTTTTGGTAGATAATGATAGTTTCTTGTGGTTTTAATTTTTGTTTTCCAGATGAATAATGATATTGACCATCTTTATTTTCCTGATAAATAATGATATTGACCATCTTTATTTTCCTGATGAATAATGATATTGACCATCCATATGCTTATTAGCTATTTGGATATTGTCTTTTGTGTGATACTTGTCAAGCCTTTTGCCCGATCTTTAAATTGTTTCTGTGTGGTTTTTTATTTTATCTGATTTGCATGAGTTCTTTATACATTCTTTACCTATCTTTGTCATAGATAGATAGATAAAATATTTCCTAGTCTGTGACTTGTCTGTTTATTTTAAAAGATTTTTAATAAAAGTTCTTAATTTAAATTAAATCCAATTATATTTTTATTCTTTTATGGTTATTATTTTTCTGTTCTAGTTAAGAAATCTTTATCCTAAGATCAGGAAGGTGTTCCCCTATGTTTTCTTCTAGAAATTAAAATATTTCAATTTAACATTTACACTTAAGAGCCACCTTCAATTAATTTTTTAATACGTTGTCAAGGTAGGAAATCAACTTTTTGAGGATTTTTTTTTCTATATGGATATACAATAGTCCTACACTCATAGGTTGGGGGGGAAAAAACAACTTTCTTCCACAGAGTTGCAGTGGCACCATAGGGGGCAAGTATTCAGTATTTCACCATTAAATATGCCAGCTATAGGCATATTTAATGTTCTTTTTTTTTTAGATACCTTTTGTAAGATTAATAAAGTTTCCTTCTATTTTAAATTTGTTGAGAATTTTTTGAATGCATGTTATGTTTTATTAAATGCATTTTATGTGTCTATTAAGATTATTATATGGTTTTTCTCTCCCCCCCCCCCTTTTCATGTACTGAATTACATTGATTATTTTAGAATGTTAAAACAAACTTGCATTCCTGGTATAAACCATAATGTATTTTTATCTCTATATTCAATTTGCTAGTGTTTTATTTTGAAATTTTGTCTCCATATACAGACAGGACTTTGTCTTGGGCTCAGATTTATGCTAACCTCATAAAACAAGTAGGTAAGTGTTCCCTTTTTTGCTAATTTCTGAAAGTATTTGAGAGAGAATATCATTATTTAATATTTGTCAGAATTTCCCTTGGAAGGCACCTAGTCCTGGATTATTATTATTGTAGGGCAGCTTTCTCCCAGACAAAAGTGCTGGCAGAGGCTATTGTATCTATGCTGAGTCCTCCCCTCATTGCAGAGCTCACTGGTAACCATATCTGAGTTTCCATCAGCCTGTCTCAAACTATTGGCTCCACCTTGGTGATTTCCTGAGATCCCAGCCCAGCCCAATTTGCAGCCCCATCCAAGCTGTTTCCATGTTTGACTCAGGCTTTAAACTTTCCTGAAATCTCTCAGAACAAGCAGCAGCTGGCATCAGTGTGCCCCATTCCTCTCAATAGGGCCAAGGCCTGGCAATAGCAGTAGCTTGCCTTGTTTCACATCTTGGCTTCTCCTGGGTGCTTCCAAGCTCAACACAAGTAGCAACCATCTGCAAATCGCTCTGTAACAGGTGGTCCCAAGAAGGGCACAGGCAATGGCTGACTTTGGCCTCCTAGGAGGCCCCAACTATTGGTATTTTACTGTAAAACTTCAGACCACACCAAATTACACTGTACACTTCCATGAGTGCCATACTAACACCAAAGCCAAGTCCAGCTGCATAGGAATATTTTCTGCATAGCAATTAATCCACTGTAGTTACAGCTGGTTTTCCCAGCCAATTGGCCTGGAGGTCAATTCCTCCCAGTGACACCAACAGCAATCAAGGCTCAACTACAAGACACAGCCCACACAAGGATGCACCTAGAGTGCCCAGCTCAAGTGATTGGGAAAACTAAGTCACTGGACCCTACAGGACACCTATTGTATAAGGCCGTTCTACCAATTCCAGGAGACATAGCATCTCTATCTAATTCATTAAACACACACACACACACACACACACACACACACACAACCTACAGCCAAATGTGGAGACAATGAAACATGTCACAAATGAAAGAACAGAAGAAATCTCCAGAAAAAGAACTAAATGAAGTAGAAGCAAAGCAAACTACTAGATACAGAGTTCAAAACAATAGATATAAGGATGCTCAAAGATCTTAATGAGAGCTTTGAGGGACTTAGTGAGACTTTCAAAGATCTTGGTGAGAATTTCAAGGAAATTAGTGAGAACATCAAAGACATGAAAAAGGACCAGTCAAGAATGAAGAATACAATAACTGAAATGAAGAATAAGTTACAGGGAATCAACAGTAGAGTAAATGATGCTAAGAGTCAAATCAGTGATTTGGAATATGAGGAAGCAAAAAATACCCAATCAGGAGAGCTAAAAGCAAAAAGAATCCAAAAATATGAAGATAGTATAAAGAGCCTCTAAGACAACTTCAAAAGTACCAATATTCACATTATGGGGGTGGGTGCAAGAAGGAGAAGAGAGAGAGAAAGCAAGATATTGAAAACCTATTTGAAGAAATAATGACAGGAAAATTTTCCCACCTGGTGAAAGTAGACTTACAAGTCCAGGAAGCACAGAGAGTCCCAAGCAAGAGGAACTCAAAAAGGCTCACACCAAGACACATCATAATTAAAAGGTAAAAGCCAAAGGTAAAAGACAATGAGAGAATCTTAAAACAAGCAAGAAAAAAGCAAATAGTTACCTACTATGGAGTACCCATAGGACTGCGAGCTGATTTCTCAACAGAAATTTTGCAGGCCAGAAGGGAATGACAAGAAATATTCAAAATGATGAACAGCAAGGACTTATAACCAAGATTACTGAACCCAGCAAAGCTATCATTTAGAATTGAAGGTCAGATAAAGAGCTTCACAGACAAGAAAAAGCTAAAGGAGTTCAAAAATATGAACAACAAAATGGCAATAAATACATAGCTATCAACAATTAAATATAAAAATAAACTAGCAAGGAACTTAATGAACAAAATAAACTGATGAATAAAATAGAACCAGCGGCATGGAAACATGGAACAGTCTGACGAATCTCAGAGGGAATGGGAAATGGGTGGGAAGAGATTAACCAAAGAACATAGCATATATGCATTACCTATGGACACAAAAGATACAGTGGTGAAGGCCTGGGGCAGGATGGGAACCAGGTGGAGGGAGAAGAAAAGGTGGGGGAGGGGAACATCTTAAATACTCTTGACAATAAATATTTAAATATATTTTTTAAAAAGAGAAAGAAAAAGGAGCGAGAGAGAGAGAGAGAGAGAGAGAGAAGAGAGAGAGGAGAGAGAGAGAGAGAGAGAGAGAGAGAGAGAGAGGAGAGAGAGAGAGAGAGAGAGAGAGAGAGAGAGAGAGAGAGAGATACATCAGTTTGTTGTTCCACTTATTGATGCATTCATTGGTTGATTCTTATATGTGCCTGACCTAAGACTGAACTTGCAATTTTGGTCTCTTGGGACAATGCTGTAACTAACTAAAGCATTCAGTTTGCAGTGAATTATTAGAGCAGCCTTGGAAAACTAAGACAAAGCTCTTTAGAAACATTGATGTTTCAATACTTCTTTATCTTGATACTGCTTTAACCACCTCTTGGTGTCTCAGCTAAGCATGCCTGTCCCAGTTCCACCTGAAAATTCTCCACATGTATTTGCAAATGCTAGACTACCTCGGGTACAACTGACACTCTTCATAGTTCAGTGAGGCTGTCCTTCTGTCCGTCTGTGTTTGACCTGGATTTCCACCTCTGATGTGCTGTTCTGCAGTCTGTCTCAGGTGTAAGCGGTCCCTGGCTGCTCCATTGCACCACTGGCCACTTCTCCGGCCAGAACGTCAGACATTTTCCACAGCTGCTTTGCTCTACCCCATTGCTTTCTTACATTCCAGGTGGCAATGGATCCCTAAAATTGTAATTTGTTTGTAGTAACCTGTTCCTCCTAGCCCCTCCTCCCAAAAGCTTTTAGTGTGTTGTCTTTATCCATGTGTGTTCTGAAATTTCACAATGTGTCTAGGTATGAATCTTTTTTAATCCTGTTTTGTATTTAACAGGTTCTTTCAGTCTGAAATTTTATATCTCATATCAACTCTGGGGGATGTTCTTCTAATATTTTTATGTTTTTTTCCATCAGTTCTCTATTCCTGGGTGTCCTGTTGGACAGATATAGGTTCTTTTGGTTGGTTCTATCTCTCTTGAAATTTTTCTCTTGTGTTTTTCATTTTTTGCTCTATGTGCCAAGAGATTCCCTTAGATTTCTTAGATTTTATTATTTTTATTTTGTTATTTTTAATCTCCATTAACTCTTCATTGTATTCCTTTGCTCCTTTTTAAAATATATTTCATTGATTTTTTACAGAGAGGAAGGGAGAAAGATAGAGAGCTAGAAACAATGATGAGAGAGAAACATCAACCAGTGCCTCTTGCACATCCCTCACCAGGGATGTGCCTGCAACCAATGTACATGCCCTTGACTGGAATTGAACATGGAATCCTTCAGTCTGCAGACCAATGCTCTATCCACTGAGCCAAACCTGTTTTCGGCTCTTTTTTCATTAGTAGTCTCTTCTCAGATACAATATTTTCTCTTTTTGGACACAAAATGGGACTTCTTTGTAGTTTCTTATGTTTTATTTTTAATAGATTTTATTGATTTTTTTTACAGAGCGGGATAGAGAGTTAGAAACATCGATGAGAGAGAATCATCGATCAGCTGCCTCTTGCACACCCCCTACTGGGGATGTGCCCGAAACCAAGGTACATGCCCTTGACTAGAATCGAATCTGGGACCTTTCAGTCCGTAGGCCGATGCTCTATCCACTGAGCCTAACCGGTTTCAGCAGTTTCTTATGTTTTATGAATCATCTTTATTTCTGCTGTTTGTGCCAGTTTTTTTTTTCTTAAATATTTGTTTTGGTGATGTTCACTTTAGCTACAGAATTTCCTCTCGGTCTATGTTTTTTTTAATATATCGAAGTCAAATTTGATTGATATACGTAGCTTGGATGGGGTTTTCTTTGTTCGGATCCTGACTTAGAGCTAGGTTTTGCGTTTGGGGGTGAGAATGTGAGTGATAGGATTCACATTAAAATGCTGGGGCAGGTGTTCAGGTTGAGCTTGTCCTCAAATACCTCAACAAAGTGGGTCCTCTCTGGTGCTCCAGACCTGTACTCTGAGTTGTTATTGCATGAATACAATACATATACCACCCAAATTTCTTTGGAGATAATATTTCCAACTTGGCTTAGTGCAAAAGTCATTGCCGTATAGTATGATAGGAGCAGGGATCAAAGACCAAGGGCAGCAGGACTCCATGCTTTGGCTCCCTCAGTCATGATCCATGTACCCATCTTTAGAGTTGAGGCTGAGGGCAACAGCATTTATGGGTTGAGTAGGGAAACTGTAGTCCTTAGAGGTGATTCAAATGCTTTTATCTGAAGATTAAGATGAAAGCCATAACTGTCCACCATAATAGGCAAATGTGATTAATCCCATTTTATGAGTGCATTCGGTGAAATATTATGAAGGAATCATGGAGATTAGGAATGGGGAGCAATATGATTTACTAAATCAATCTAATATAAATACCACCATTGTTGAACATTGTGTTGATCATTGTACGAAAAGCTAGAGGAAATGGTTAAGCATTTCCATCAATGTAATCTTGGTCCAGTTCACACCAGTTGGGGGTGGAAAGGAAGCTGTCTGAGGAGGGAGAAGCTCTAAAAATCACTAACATTATAACAAATATGCTGTAGGCTTCACTAGAGACCAACTTCCAGTTTCTGATTTACTGAATATCTTTCCACTAAAGTGAGTATAGAGTAATCATGGGAGGAGAATGTAGCTGTGGAAAAGACATTTGGAATTTCACAGAATGTTTTGGGCCTGTTTTACAACCCACTTGTATTCCGTTCCTATCCATTTCAAAGGCTTTTCTGAGTGCTGACAAGGAAGAAAGTTCTGCTAAATTTGAACCTTTTAAATAGATCAAGATTTTCAAACATGGTCAGATTTGATGCAGATAAATCTCCACCACAACGCAATGTTGATGGGATCATTCATTTACTTTTTTTTTTTAAAAGCAGAGTAACTGACAATTCCAAATATGGATCAGGCATTTAGCCTTAACAAATGTAGTAATCAACATAGAGAGTGATCAGCTTATCCAGTTTCCCATCTATGTTTTAGCTGAGATGTTTAATTTTCATTTTCTCCTTTCCACTGACATTCTAACCTAGTGAGGGAGGTCTGATAGCCCTTTCCAGGGATGTTGTTACTTCCTCTTTCTTACATAAGAACCGGAATTCCATTTGGAAAAGGAAATTACATTGGGCTTGATCAATAACCTCAAAGAACTAAAAGAAAAAAAAGTACCTGTTATTTGATTTTAATATGTACTTGATGTCCATGATTTGTGTTCATGTGTTAATTGTTGGGTCACTAGCAATTAGATTAGCCATTGTTAACGTCTAAAATGGATTTAAATGCAAAGAGAATCGATACTTGAGCTAAATGTTTAAATATCACAATACTAACAAGAGAGGAGTCTTCCCAATTGAACTACTTTTTCGTTTTCTGCATTTTACAACACTGAGCGTATCTAGGAGAGGTGAAATTTACCACTTTGTAAAGGACAATATAAACATCTTGCTGTGGTAATAGAAACGATGAAAGTGGCACGTGCATGAGCAGTAAGTAGTAAGTACAGCTTGTGAAACTAAAATATCTTAGCATTTAATTAGACAAGAGATTATAGTAATTACTATGGCTGATGTTTTTAAGCACTTGCTGGGTGCTTGACGCTGTTTTGTTTTGTTTTTCATTTAAACTTCACAACGATTTTATGAAGCATGTGCTAAGTGAGTCTGGGAGGATCCACCTCCATGAAGTTACAAATAGGGTTGAAGCTTAGTTCTGCTGACTACGGATCCAAAAACCCATATAACCTATCTGCTATTTTTAGCCAATTGTGATTCTAGATATTTTAAACAAATGGAGCTTTAAAGGTAGAAAGTCCAAAGGACTGATATATTCAGAAAGATATTGGAGTTTACCATTACTTGCTCCTATAGTCCACTAAATAAGGTCTCAGAAACTATCTTGTTAGATTTTGATACCCCCATAACCCTAAATTTTGTTTGTTGAATTAGATTCTACAATTGTAATAGTGAAATTCACACAAAAATGTAACTACTTAAAAAATTTTTTTAATTTAAAAATTTTAAATGTTCAAATATTCTTTTGACTTTGGCAAATTCTGTAAGAACTATTAGAGTGTATACAATCATAGAACATAGAAACTTTCTGAGACTTTATTTAGTGGACTATAGGAGCAAGTAATGGTAAACTCCAATATCTTTCTGAATATATCAGTCTTTTGGACTTTCTACATTTATGGATTTGAATTGGGGAACTAAACCTGTGTGTGTGTGTGTGTGTGTGTGTGTGTGTGTGTGTGTGTACCCACATATGTGTATGTATATACACCTATGTGAATACCTGACCGGTGTTAGTGGTGAATTTCCCTAATTAGAAATAATTTTAGTCAAATACATTAGCCATTGTTTAAATTGCATTTAAATATTGGCTCTGTTTAAAAACAGCAAGACCCTTTGGTGCAGATTCTCCTAGTTTTTTGTTCTCCAGTATTACTTGAGAAGCTAAACATAGTTATGTAAATGTATGTCAAGTAGGCCCCCTGGGATTTGGGGAAAAGATATAACAGGATCTTTTGTGGCTCCACAAAGGCTATTTATATGGAGCCCTTGGTTTGCAGAGTTGGACCCTGGAGAGGGGAGGTAGGGGTGAGATGAGTAAATGTGCCCAAATTATGAAGAACCAACATGTTCTTTTTTTGTGGTTCAATATTATTAGAACATCTCTGAAGGACTGACATAAATGTTTAAAAATATTTTTTTAGCCGAAACCGGTTTGGCTCAGTGGATAGAGCGTCGGCCTAAGGACTGAAGGATCCTAGTTTCGATTCCAGTCAAGGGCATGTACCTTGGTTGCGGGCACATTCCCCCAGTGGGGGTTGTGCAAGAGGCAGCTGATCGATGACTCTCTCTCATCGATATTTCTAACTCTCTGTCCCTGTCTCTTCCTCTCTGTAAAAAAATCAATAAAATATATTTTTAAAAAATATATTTTTAAAATTTATTTCAGAGAAGAAGGCAGAGGGATAGGTAGAAACATCAATGATGACAGAAAATTATTGATTGGCTGCCTCCTGCATGTCCCCTTTTGGGGATCAAGCCCATAACCCAGGCATGTGTCTTGACCAGGAATGGAACCTGACCTCCTGGTTCATAGGTCGATGCTATCACTGAGCCACACATAATCTTGAGGGCAACAAATCAGTATGTAAGGACACCAACAGCCTCCAGATGTAAGTTACCTCAAGGCAAGGAAAGTCTTGGCCTGGTGACCTGGTACTCAGAGGGTCTGGGTGGTCCTGGTACAGTGTTGGTGAGGTTGGATGTCCCTCCTGACATTGTCACCTCAGCATAGAAGGTGTGCCTTAGAAGCAAATGATTTGAGCATGTGAAGTGATAGCAACACAATTGATACCCCAAGCCTGCAATGTTCTGGGCTGAATTCAGCATTGGAAGGAGTGGTTCATTCTTTCTTGGTTCAATGATTTTAAAATGAGGTAAGTTAGCTATACTCCAACCTATTGAAGTGTAAATTACAGCAATATTTTAACATACTCCAATTTTACCAAATCTGATATTCAACCTCAAAACTTCAGGTTTTGACTACATTGACAATTATATTTTGAATAAGTTTTACGTTAGATAAACGTATGCTTTATTTGAGAATGTATATTTAAAAAAAATTATTGATTGGTTTTTTTTAGAAAGAGAAAGGGATGGAGAGAGAGAGAGAGAGGTCCATTTGTTGTTCCACTTCTTTATGAATTCATTGGTTGAATGTGTCCTGACTGGGGATTAAACCCACAACCTTTTCGTGTTGGGATGATTCCCTAATCAACTGAGCTACCCAGCCAGGACTATTTGGAAATATATGAATAGTCTGAACATATCTTTCTTTTAAACTCAATTTGCTTTGGAAAATACTATTTCAAATTTGGACCACTAATTCCCACTATTTTGTCAAAACTGTTTGTGTTGGATCTGTGAAGGACCTCAAACAGTTCTGTTTCTATCTCTGCTGCCATGGGAAAGGAGTTTTTGCAGAAGCATGTCTGTAGAAGTGTTTGGGTTGTACGAATCACACTTTGAGGTAAACAGGACATGGACCACTCCTCCAATTTCTGGTTGAGAAAAATGAGATAGGTTGTGTGAGTTGAGGATCTCACAGCCGGCTAGCAGCAGCCCTGGGATATGCATGGGCTATTACTGACTTTTAAAGCAACAGGCCCTCTCCACTCACTGTTATGTGCTAATGATCCTTATGAATAGTTTTCTAGCCTAAAAAGTGCTTTTTAAAAAGGAGGCAGATTTGACTTCAAATCCAAAAGCTTCCACTTCTCATCTTTGGTTGGGCAAGGTACCTAAACTTTGAGCCCTAGTGTCCTCATGTAGAGAATGGGAAAAATAATATAAACTTAGCAGGGTTGTTATTTAATGAACTACAGATTTTAAGTGCCTGGTACTGTAGTATTAATAAAAGAAATACTACACAGTGAATTGAGTCATAAGAGAATAGAGCAGATTATATAAATTTTTTCAAACCATTGAAATAATAAATTAAGAAAGGCATTTAGTGATGTATACAGAAAGAGCAAAGTGGATTTCAAGTTCTAATGAGAAGATGGATATAATTCCCCCCCCTCCCCCCCAAGTAATCAGAAGGCCTGTAAGGAAGTATTCCAGAGGCATTACTAAACCTCAGTAAAGAGGGAGAAAGAAATGATGTTATTTTTTTTACTTTACAACTTTTTCCCCCCTGATTATCCAAGATAACACACTCATTGCAATTCTCAGTGCAATGGGCAGTTGCTATTTTGATGGCTCAGCATCTAGCTTTCTTCCAGGTATATCACATGCCTCATCACTCTATCTAGCCAGAGTGGGTGCTGCTATTTTGCTTTGTTTTTAAATTCTTGTACAGCATGAGGAATGTGAGAGACCCCGAGACTAGCCACAAACATAAGCAGAACAGATCCTGTGACCTCCCCTTGGTGCTGTCTTCTTTCATAAGTCTACTTCCCTCTTCACAGTGATTGGTTTAAGAATAGATACCTGACCCACGTTGACCAATCACAGTGTCTCACTACCGCCCTGTTACCGTGATTGGGTAATGGTTGGGCATGTGATCTAAAATGAGCCAGTAAGCCTGGTTGGTGTGGTTCTGCGGTTGAAGCTCAACCTGTGAACCAGGAAGTCAGGGTTTGATTCCTAGTCAGGGCACATGTCCAGGTTGAGGGCTTGGTCCCCAGTAGGGGGCATGCAGGAAGCAACCAATCTATGATTCCCTCTCATCATTGATATTCCTATCTCTCTCTCCCTTTCCCTTCCTCTCTGAAATCAATAAAACTTTATTTTAATAGAATGGGCCAATGAGAATTTTTCATTTGGATTATTTTAGCTGGATCTGCCCCTAGCCTGTCCAAAAGAATGGAGAACATTTTTTTGCTTCTTTAGTGGCAAAACCCTAACGGGCAAATCCAGGAGCTACTGACAACAGAGTTACAATGCACGTGGAGGTCTACCACAGCAGACACTGACCCCAATGTGCAGTTCTAGTAACTGATTCACTGAGCCAATAAACATCCTTTTAATTAAACTAGTTTGATTTGGATTTCTGTCACTTATAATCAGAAACCTTGACTGATATTAAACAAAGAAATATAAAGAAGCAGAATAATACACATTCATAGTGCTACTCCCCAGTGGCAACAACTATTATGTGTACTTGTTGCCTTTTTACTAAGTTTATTTTGTTGTTGTTTGTTTTTCATTATATCAATTTCTGGTACAATTGAAGGTATTAATAATTATAGTTTCCACAATTGTTTCCATAATAGAGGGCATTTAGGTTATATCCAAGTTTTTGATGCATTATGGGCATATATTTTTGTTTGTCTCTCAGGTTATTTCTTTGGGATATATTGCTAGAAAGATAAGTACAGAATCATAGAGTATTAATAGTGATTTTTAAAGTTTTTCAGTTTTGTTGAAAAAGTGATATATGTGCCCTAACCGATTTGGCTCAGTGGATAGAGCGTCAGCCTTCGCCTGTGGAAGGGTCCTGGGTTCGATTCTGGTCAAGGGCATGTACCTTGGTTGTGGGCACATTCCCAGTGGGAGGTGTGCAGGAGGCAGCTGATCGATGTTTCCCTCTCATCAATGTTTCTGACTATTCCTCTCCCTCCTCTCTGTAAAAAATCAATGAAATATATTTTTTTAAAAAGAAAAGAAAAAGTGATATATGATAAAAAGAA